TAGCTCATTAATGTTTTCTTGTCAGTATTTTGAGCAAATTGACTTCAAGTTGAAAGCAATTGTACATGTTTGAAAGAGCAGCTTTTCAAGAGTAGTGGTTTAATTTACATAACTTATAGATCTTTTTTGACATGAAATAATAGGATAAACTCAGGTGTTATAAATGATAGAAATTACATCTTTGTTGCATTTAGTGTAGCAAAGCCCTGCTTTGTGAGCCAGCATGCACAATAATTAGTATCATTGGTAACACCTGTGTTTACCCTACTATTTCATGTCAAACTGGCCACTGTGGAAAAGGTCTATCGTGTTACATTGATTCTATAAGAACTATGCAGTTTCCCAGTTAGGTCCTTTCTGTAAACACACATTTTTCCCGGCTAAAAAATGAAATATGTCAACCAAGATAGTTTTACACCATTCATACTAAAGTAGGTAAAGTAGGTTAGCCTCCTTTAAGTCCTTTTAATATCTGTGATTGTATTACACCATTTTAGACAGTGGACACATGAATGAGGACTGTTTTACAGAAAAAAAATGTTTTATATGAATTTGGCATCAATGTGATTAGATACCTTTAGTCAGGTGTTTAATTTATCCAAAAACAGACAAAACAAAAATTCCTGCCTGATTATTTTAACCATAAACTGTTCCTGTACTTATTTCCCATAAACATATATAGATTTAATTCATAAAGCCCACTCCCAAGGAGAGAGACACATAGGCTAAAGTTTTAGAAAACGACGTATTGTCTTACGTATCCTTTTTCTCCTCTGTGGCAGACATAGGAGAAAGGAGTCATTTTGATTTAACCATGCACGGCTGTTTCCAGGCTGTATTGTTTTCCATTACACCATTCAGTATAATGGCAATCTCACTTTAAACCCGTGATTGATTTCTGCTCTGTCACCCTGAGGGGGTGTTTTACCTTTCACTCTGCTCAGTTTGATATATGAGTATGTGTTTTCCTTTCAGAATCTCAGAGCTTAGACCCTTTTGGGGCTTTGACAGTTTGATAAAGTACTCTGATTCCCAGAAATACTTCATGTTGATTTATTTGTCTTTATAAAGTAGTAGTGACCATCTTGTATGTGTGAGCTTGGGTGTTGTTAAATATGACTATAAATCCAATATCACCCAGGTGTAAGACGTACACACTGGCCTTTTTTCCCTTCTGACTTAACTATTCCAGATAATTCCTGAAGAGGATTTTATTTACTTATCAAATGTAAGGTTTTGGCCATAGGATATTTTAACAGTTTTCAGCCTAAAGCCTTATTTTAACTCCATGGCACCATATTGCTATGTCTGTTAAAAATGTTAGCCGTGACTGTGAACCCTGTGATGAAAGAGGAAAAATACAGTGAGTCTCCCATGTTCAAGGCTTCCCCAAGTTTTGGGATGTGTAGTCTCAGGACAATAGATCTGGCAGTGGCTGACCACAGCTGTGTTTGTGCTGGGATGGTGTACTGGACTAATTCCCCCCTTCCTCCGGTTGACCCTCTGGGCTGAGCCAGGTTGTCCCCGTGGGGCTGAGGGCAGCTGGGGCCAGAGGAGGTGGAGGCAGGTGACTCAACTAGCCACCCCCTCACCTCTTCCCTCCTTTGTACACCATACCAGCTGTGATTTAGTTGAATCTGGACAAAACATGTCAACAGATAGTTATCAAATCTAGTAAAGCCAAGTCAACAGAAGCGTCTTTAAGGAGGATGTTCTTTCTGAAATATCTTGGGGAGACTTTTTCAGGAATGTAGCAGCAGAGGACACACGATAGAGCCCGGTTGTGTGCTTGAGGTTGCACCATCAGTTAGAGGAAATATCCAGACCTCAAACACACCTACACTGATTTCATCAGTGTTTAATGCGTTCCACGTTTTACTGTGTGCTCAAGTGTTGCAGTTGAGTTTTTGGTGTACTCGGGTTTACTCAATGTGCAGTCTATTTTGACATTTTTTGTAAGAACACCTGCCAGCAAGTTGTTGCATTTACTTTTGCCATGCATGTAAGTGCAGTTAGTTGTTCTGTACATTTTCTGTCATCAGTTTCTTGCTATATGACAAATTCAAGACCTCAAAACCCAACAACTACTGATGGTGTTTAATTCCTGTGAATAAGAAAAATGCCACCACAAAGCAACACGGCAAGTATTTCATGTGAACCAGGAAGGATTTTGTTGTGTTTTTGACATCTGTACTTTACATTTAATGCATCATTTTATTTCGTTAACATCCATTATCCTTAAGTCAACTTGAGGTTTTTCATCTAGACTCTGGCCTTATTAGAGTTATTCTTCAGCTGTTACATACAGCATTTCATAAAATCTCTCTTGCAGCACACATGAATGCACAAGAAGACCTAAAATGTGCCACTCACCTGCCCTAGCTCTCTTCCTCCCTTGGTTGGTCAGTCAAGCTGTGTCTCCCAGTGGCTCCAGCCAGGTGATCTAACCAGGAATGCATTTGACGCCACCTCACTGTTTGGCCTTTCAGGGGTAACCAAGCATGTCCAGCTGGGCTTTTCTCTCCTGCCTCTTCAGCTACCACATGAAAGAGACCCGATTTTGTCTGACAGGGGAGTCATTCTTTGTAAAGAAGTGGGTTGTTTGTGGGGGAAAGAATTTCTGCATCTTCTATCAGAACAGTTCAGTTTATGTTTTATGATGTATTGTGCAGACTTTGTGGAAATGTGTTTGCCTCCCTCCCCCATAGAAAACACAAAGTGCTTTGTTTTTGTATCTACGGGGGTCATTCTGCTCTTGAACTACATACAGTAATTCCTGAATCGTGGATAAATGTGGGAAATCCCAAGCTTTATCTTCCCATTTCACCCCATGAAAACAATAGAAAAAGTACAAGGGTTTTACAAATGTCTTTCCTGGCAAACACGAACCAGTGCTGAGTGGCAAAACAGAGGGGTCAGTGTGCTGAAAGGCTCTCTCAGCCAGTTATGTTTTTGGCAGCCAGGCGAGACTGACCTTCTCAACTGTCAGGAAAGAAACACTGGGATCTGCTTTACATTTGCACCTGTTGGAAACTCTGCGATAATGTGGCTGAGTTAATGTGGCTGCAAGAGATATCCAATCCTTCACATGAGAGCACGCTCGGTGTCCGACCTTGTGTACTTTCACCTCTCTGGGTCTGTTTTTTATTTTCTCAGCATGTCATCCTCCTCCTGTTTCCTGCCTGACTCCTTCTCATATCTGTACTTCTTCCCAGTTCAGTCACTGTCAAACACAACATAACTACTTTTTTATAGATAATTTCTTGATTTGTTAGTTAGTTGGTTGTGCTATTGAGAATTAATAGGAAAAGAGGGAAGAGCATCAAAGGTTTCAACTGGCTGTGTTGAGTTAAGGGACCTGTGCAGTGAACCCAACTCGTTGAGGGCTATTGTGTTAGGTGGTTGTGTGCCTGTAAGAATATAGCTGGGAGAAACCCATATTGAGGCTTAAGCATGATTAGGATCTTATCTGATAGGGACCAGACATGTTCTGATGGTCGAGTTCTTCCAAAATGATGAGTCTTAAAGCTATGAGAAGCTATCTTGCACCAGACATCTGGGACATCTTCTTCTCTGAACTGAGCTTTGCGTTTTTTTTATTTTTGCTAAGAGCAGATCCACAACTGCTGTATGTTACCTTTGATGTTAAAGCATCTTAACTGATGTACTGGAATGTATAGTGTGAAGCGGTGGTCCTGGTGGGGAAGGGGAATATTCTCTTCTTTTTCCTATGTGCCATCATGTGCTTCTACCATGCAGCAGCTTTACTGAAGAGATAATAAAGAGGAAACCCCAGAAAGATGTTACAGTCAGAGGTGATGGCCACTTGGGGGATACGTACATTTAATGTGGTAGTTTGTTTAGTTAGATTATGAACTTTTTTAAAAATATATCTTATAACAATAAGAGGATTTGCAGCTTTTTTCAGTTCATTTAACTGAATATGTTTGGGTTTTAGACATTTCAAGACACTACAGCTGGCTCTGGTAAACTGACTTTGCGTACTATTTTATAGACTGAACAAATAATCGATTAATTAAGAAAACAATTGGCATCCTTCTCCTCTATGGTTTTCATTTATGCAAAAAAACATACTTAGAAGGAATTGTCATGCATAGCGTCAACCAGTATTAACACTGAGCTTCTGTCTTTCATCAATTTTATCTGTAAGTCACTCACACAGGACATGGTCTGCACTGTATCAGTATCTTTCATTAACATACACTTCCCTAGCACTCAGTGTTTCTCTTATCAAGTCTGTAGCTATTAACAGTAAACCGTTTTTCCTTTTAGTTTGTTTCTTAGGAAGAGGATAAGATGCCTGTGGTGATTATTTTATTGTAATGCTCCCAACATCCATTAAGTTCATATGCTTTGAGCGCGCAGACCACATCTATTATATTAGCTATAATAATGACAGCTCTCTCTAATGACAGGATGTGGATGGGAACACTGCATCTCCCTGTAAATCTGCTCATTCCTTCTTTGGTCTGATGAACCAAATTCATAAATATTACTTATTTCAAGTGGATTCCAAATGATTTGCCAAGAATCTTTTTTTAGGGAAAGCTTGAATGCGCCCTCGTATTTTGGCGAGAAGTGTGTTTTTTCCTGCAGGAGCAGCTTCAGAAGAACGTCTAAAGATTGTCTGTCTGTTTTTCCTTATCTTCTTGAAGCAGTTAAACTTATACAGATTCAGAGTAACATATGAACTTTGTCATTTTTTTGGCAATTCTCCATAATGGAGACCTGTCCATCTGTTCCTTTTTAAACTGTGAGAATCTATTTCCACATATTGTAATGTTTGAGATTGATGTAATAGGAAAAAAAAGGTTCTTATGTTGGATTGTGTTGGAGAAACAACTTGCATTAACGAAGTCCCTAACTTGACCTGTTATGATTTTAACTAACTTCATCAATCACACAGGTGAAATTGGTTTCTGTTATTATTATTTTAATAATATGTCTCATTTCTTGTATATCTCTGTTTCTCTCTTTAGTTGAAGCAGCCTGACAAGGCAGCAGCAGCAGCTCACACCTACTTCCAGGCCAACCCTGAACATGTGGAGATGGGTCAGAACCTGGAGCAGTACAAAGACCTGCAGGGCGTTAAGGAGGACCACTTTGTGGACAGAGAAGCCCGACCTCACCAGGTAAGCCAGGAAATCTTAATATTCAAGTTTGAATACAGACACAGTTTTGATTATTTCTCACTTTAGTTTGTTTTGTCTCTTTCCCTTTTCCTCTTTTCATACCTCTTACCTATTGATGCTTCTACCTGAGCCTGTTTCAGACAGTCACTGTGACCTGTTGCCCTATGGCCATCTGTTTTCAACCTTGCCAAAATGTGTGGCTACTTTTTCTTATTCACTTTTTTCCTGAAGGGAAAAGTGAAGCTGTTGTCGCTGTATGGAGAGGACTTTGTGTTAATGGCCCTTGCAGTTTAATGACTGGAAACTCATTTGGGCCTTTTAGTGCTGGTTGCGGTGAAGCCCTGAATGCCAAAGAGCTTTTGGATCCTTTGTGGGTTGATTTATTCTCAGTTTTTCACCCTTTCTAACCCCCTCTCTTATTTCCCTCTCTGCCCATCTATTCTCTCTTCTTCTACAAGCTTGTACAGGTTCCTACAGGACCCTCTGGGAGAAGCTACTTAATCTGTTATTCATACCAATTGTACTCAGCTAAACTTTAAATATGGCTAATAATTCATTGTTTCTCTGTGACATCATTTTACTCATGACTTACTCTGTTAGTGTAAATGTATATACTTTACTTTTAAAGCAATGTGTTTTTCCGCCTATTGTTTTTAAACTTGGTAAATGTCTTTAATCTGTGTTTGGTTTTTCTGTATTTCTTGTTTGCAACCTTCCAGTCTGAAGAACATTTTCTTTTGACTATAAATGAATGTGTATTACATCTTATTTAAATGGTATTCATAAAGAATTGGCAGTGGGAGTCCTTTCTGGCAAACATTACGGCTAATCCACCCACCTCCCCTTCTGTTTATTCCAAACAAATGATCATTGCTTCTGCAGGCAATGGGATCTGCACCAGAGGGTTTGTAAAAACTTTTATGAACTGGCTGTAGGTTTACTTACAGTTGTGTTTTTTAACTGTAAAAGTGAATACCAATAAATACCAAAGGTCATAAATTTCATCGCATCGTTCCTCTCTCTCATGATCCTCCTTTACTCCTCCATCACAGCACTCCTTTACTGCAGCGGTGAGGTTGTACGACAAAGGCGACTACGAAGGAGCCATCGCTCTGTTTGAGGAGGCTCTGGTGGAGTACTATAAAGCAGATGTGGAGTGTCGGGCCCTGTGTCAATGGCCGCAGAGGTTTGAGGGCTATGACTACCTCCGCTACCGCTACAGCCTCCATGAAGTCATATCAGGTAAGAGCGAATGTCCGCACAGGTTTACTTAAACAGAAAACAGTTGTTGACATTCATCTATCCTGCATTTATCTGCAAGTAGAGCAAAGTATGTCCCTAGTTGCATATATAGTGTAAATAAGTGTTTGAAGTGGGGCATTGGTAAGAGCCATGGTAATAAATTCAATGATTATTATAATAAAATCCCAGTATGAACATGGACTTCATGTGGATTTTGGATGTGATTTGTTGGTGTAATCGGCTGTATACATTCTTTACAAATGGCAGATAAATAATTACACTGTAGGTTTTTAGTTAAAACCTGGACTTTAGTGTTTAGGTTGTGTCTTAAATTGTGTATACCCTCTCTGTATTTAACATCCACAACGACAAGTTGATGTTGAATAGATGTTGGTATTATGGCGGCACTAATGTTAAAAACCTGTGCAAAATGAACAGTATGAAATTGGTGCAGCTAAGTTTTAAAATATGTTTTTATTTTTTATATTTGGGATTTTATTGTAGCATAATAACATTTTGATATTTTATTGCTAGTATGAGTTGATGCCTACTTTAACCACCCTGTGCATGCTGGAATGGATTAAAATCTTGATCGGATGTTTAGATTGTCTGCCTTCTGAGAAACCCTGCCTTGTTTTGTTTTCTTATAAATACTACTTTGTGTTAACTCTGACAGTGGTTTCATAAATCCTGCCTAGAGTTGATTCTGAAAAGTCTCAGAGGCCCATTATAGTCTTAGATGAAAGGAATGAGACTGTTTATTTGGCATGTGGAGCATTTTATCAACTTATCGTGACTGTTCCACCAACGCATCTGCCTTTGCTGCATGGCCCTCAGCCCGAGCTGGGCTCTGTTGTGCTGAGAGAGCCTGGGGAGGCTTAGACAAGGCCAAACAACACCCTTCATGCTCACTAGGTGATCAAATCTCCCTGGCAGCGGCTTGGCACTGGATGGAAGTTGGCGCTAGGGTTAGACGAGTGATGATAGCCATGTAGGAACTGTAGGTTCCCGGAGTTATGTCCATAACCATACTGTTGGCCATGGAAACACATTTAAAACCCATGTGAACACTGTCTCACAGTGACACAGCACATCAAGTTCTTATAATGGAAACACACAAACATAAAGATGGAAGTTGGGTCTTTATTCTATTTAGAGGCAGCATGGTGGACTAGTGGTTCAGATACATAACATATATTGTAATCGGAACATCCCTGGTTCAAATCTTTTCATTCCCCCCTCTCTCTCTTTTAATTTCTTGTCATCTCTCTACTGTCAACTTTTTAAAACTTAAAAATACAAAAAAAAACAGACTTTTGGTTAAAGTCAAGCTTCAAATTATTTTATCAATATTTGTTTTATATCCGTCGCTAAGCTTTTCCTGGCGCCCCACATGTTGAAATACAGAGATTTATATGTCGGTGCATTGGCTTGAATTTCTTGGAGGGAAAAAGGTGTAAATAATGTCCAACTGCAAAGGCTTCAGAGGAAATTCGTAGGTACAAATCGGAGCCGGGCGCATACAGTGCAATCTGTGGTCAAAACAAACATTTTCAGAACACAAGACATCAGGAGCCCTTATACAGATTTTACCCCGCAGTCATCCACGAGCTTTTCATTGTTGCATGGTTTACCACAGTGCTGGGGTCTCGGATTATTAAATTAGCTGGAAAACTGCATGCAGAAAAGAATGGAGCAGCTTTTTTTAATTCACCACACGGTACAAAATTTAGGTTTAAAGTTTTACTTAGCAAAGTAATCTGATCATTGATATTACTTTAATATGTCAGACTACGTTAAAGACCCTTGGGGGCCACTAAACCCTACTTATGATGCCATTAGGATGTGTTAAGCCACAATGTGGAAAACGTATGGCACATACCAGAGCCTGCTGATGTAATGGACTACACAAATCAATTTATAAGTAACAAGCTTGCACTGCATGTTTTAGCAAACTCTCTACACTACATACAAGAGGAAACTTGAAATCTCTCAACTAAATCTAAATCTCTTATAATACAAAACAATCATATAATGCAAAAATTACTAGAAATAACTGAAAGGTGGATCGGCCTGAGTTAGTACAGATGTACTAAATTACATTTTCTGCTGCTTTAAACAGAAAGCTGGGCTGTGTTCAGTTGGGATTTGGTAGACATGCTCTATTGCCATCTCCGACAGTGCCTGAACCGAGGCCCAGGAGCCTGAGTCAACTCCACTGACTCACTACAAGACCGCCCTCTGTCTCCTCTTCCTCTTCTGTCTCTCTTCACTTGACCATGTTCCTTTACTGCACTATTGTACTCGGGAGCTTTCTCTTGGCATTTCTTCTTAAAGGAACATTCTGGTATTTTTATGTTGGTACTTATTTATTTCAAATGTTTCAAATGATATTGTTGTGTGGAATAGTTCCAGTAGAAAATGTGGATTGATTCAGTTCAGTTTGTTGCTCTCAGATTCTGGTTTAGAGGTTTCCTTAGCTAAGTGTTGGCTGCAAAACAGTTGACTGCTTTAGTTAGATTGTTCTGGCACTATGGCTTGTTAATGCAAGCCTGTTGGGCAGGTGAATTCATGTTTCAGGTTTCAGAGCTTCCTACTAGCACCACCTGGTAACCTTTTCTAAACAGTCCATGTTTTCAGTTACAGCGTTTAAGACAGCAATGTAAATCTGAGCGAAGTAGACAACTAAAGGCTTACTGTCCAAACATATTTCTGCCCATACTGAGGGGAAAATGCTGCTCTCCGTGTGCCAAACAGAGCAGTTCAACAACAGAGGTCACTATAAGACAAACACAGCTCAGCCCAGCAGCCACCGGCATTCATCAAACTGGCAGTTACAGAGAGGAGTAGCAGCTTTATTTCATCACCAACTATTACTCATACAGTTTTATTGAGCTTCATAAATAAGCTCACATTTTATCTACTGTATTTTATTTTGTTTACAACATACTGTGCAACTAATAGGAGTCTAAGGGGCCCCTAACAGTCTTGCTGCGAAGAATCAGGCATGTTTGATGTGGAGGGATGCGTGTATCCACAGCAAAACTCTTGCACCAGATCATAATTACACGATTATACTGTTACACATATACACAAACTTTGGTCAGCGGTGCATTTGTTGACACGAGTCGGGCCTTTCTCTCTGGAAATTGAGGCGGGTTTTGTGCAGTAGCCGCAGTTTAATTGCTGACAAGTGTGTTTTGTCTCAAATATGTATGGCCCGGTTGCGTAAACACAGAAAAAATGGCTAATTAGTTTTGGCCAGGCTTTGTTTGCCTTACAATCAGGGGATTATTTTCCATAGCACCACTATGGTAGAGCCTGTGATTATGATGTTTATTTATGTTAAGATGTATGTATGTAGTTTTTGAGAGTAATATAATCTGTTATGTGAGTTTAATAAAAGAGAAAGGATTTCTTGGAATTACTTCCTCGTGCAGTGGTTTAATTTTCAGAAAAGAAGAAGAAAGAAAATATCTTTTTGACCCAGAAACTGTGCCTCTCTAGTATTACAGGGTTCTGACCCAACACATTTCAGCTCTCTGCTCCTCTGAGACTCTTGAAGAGACTGAAACAGACCACAACTCTGCTGTCGGAGGGTGTAGAAAGTAGTGTTGCAGCTGCTCAAGAGTGACCTCACTGTACATTCACGCTCACAACACACACAACAGAATGCTATCATCCACTCTTCTGGCTCGACATAAGGAAACGATATGTAGCACCCTGTGAAATCTTCCCTGAAGGATCAACAAACAATGGGACTAATCACCACCTGAGGAACAACAAAGACATGAGAGCACTGTACTGTTGAAAAGGGAACAACATTTATTTGATCCGGTTCACAGCAACAGGGAACGACATCATGTTGGACTGGTTGTATTTGATTCGATACAGCTCATCAAGTGGAATTCATTCCAGTGTTGTTTTTTTCCTCCCACAAACAGATTCTCCACCAAAACTGGACAACCGGGAGCAAGATACATTTACCACCACTGATGCACTTTAAGAGCAATGTGCTGTCATGTTCAGTTAGGATCTATATAGTAAATGTTTGGCTGATAAAGTTTTATTAGTCTATGTAGCTTTGATCTAGAACTAGAGTTTTCCAGCATCTGTTTTCACATTTGAGTCTTCAGACATATCATATGCCTTGATGCCAAACGCGTCCTTCTATAGTGTAATGAGTCTATCTGTGGGTTTCCATTAGTCTGCCTGAAATGCTAACAAGTAATTCATTATTTTCAGCTGTGTGTAAATCTTGAGTGGTCCTTTTAACCCTGAGCTGATATCACACTGATGATCTCAGCAGAGTTAATTGCTTGGAGCATGACATCATTCTGTAACAGTGACCATATTGCATCGGTGCATTACTTTTCCAACAGGCCACACAGAGACTTATAACTGAGTCAATGGGTGCAGCAGTACAGTTATTTAACAAACTGTAACTGTAATATAAACACTCAGCAAGAGAAGTTGGTGGCCACTGTTTGTTAAATAAAAATAATTTACTGGTTTGAACTTTGGTTGACCAAACCATTGTATTACTTACAATTAATCATTATAAGAGGTGCTCTGTCTTCTCTGTGCACAAGTAGACAGGAAAATAAATCCCTCCTCTGTGGCTCTACCTAAGGGTTTCTTCCTTTTTCCCTCTTTTTTTCTTTTTCTTCTCTTATCTGAATCAAGAAGAATAAGAATAAAGGCAAAATTTGGGGCTATATAAGTAAAATTGATTTCACATGAAGTAGCTATTAAGTAACTCTTGCGAAACGATTGTGCAATTTTTATTATTTCTAAGAACATATGATGAAATGTTTTATTAGTCAATATAAATTTTATTACAAAATATAAATTCTTTTGGACAAGTTTCTTTGCAGTTTTGAAATACTGAGTAGTGAAACTTTTTTTAATTACCATACTGTTTTGAGCTTTATAACCTTTTGGAGTGATACCCTTTTAATATGTTGATTTTAAGGCTGTGTAAATCATCTTTTATTCCAGGATTAACAGACTCTCCTCTCCTTGGTTATATCCCTGATCGGAACACTATCCAACCCCCCTAAACCGATGCTCAACTTGTGCCAAAGAAGAAGCCAAATGCCAGCTTTACAAAGTGGCTTATTATCACAAAGTTATGTTGATGATTTGAATTTTTTTTGTTGCAGATCACTTCACTCAGGTGCTGCACTGTGAACATGAGTGCGTGCGAGACCTCGCCACCC